GCAAAAGAAGAGAAAAAACACTTAAGGGGATTTCTTTGTGAGAAATCAACCATTTGAAGCATCATTTTTTTATGAGCCACAAATGTTACACTGGCAGAAAAATGTGTTAGTAACTTTGCAAATGAAATATTTATAAGGCGAATATTGCGGTAGGTTGGTGCCTTTAAAGACGGTAGTATTTAGATGGACGCAGTTACCAAAAAATTGGAAGATGCGGCTTCTCGTCAATAATAGATAGTAAAATAAAACTGGCTCTATGTATATGTACATATGTGCTTCTAGATTCGAATCACAAGCATTCAGATTTAGAAATAAAAACTGGTGCATAGGCGTTAGTTTATATATATATGTATCTAGATTAAAACACCTTCCTTTTGACACCCATATTGTGATATAAACCTCAATACAGTTTTTAATAAAGTTAATTGCAACTTTTTATAAAGGTGGCAACCCCACACCAATTTTTTTTTTATTTCTTCAAAAGGTTTTTGTTTTAGTATAGAAACCTTATGCTGTTGAGCCTTTAAATAATTTTAAATTTCCAAATATCTGGCAACCCTATTTTGAATTTTATTCCAGAAATGTTCTACAGAAAATACCGATTAAAATAGGAGAAAAGAAATAAATCCGTTAAGCTGTTAAAACTTCAACATGGTCAAAATACACGCCATTTGGGATTTTTTATAGATAATTATAAGCATCTCGTACTTTTTGAAACACCACTGATTCTGATAACTTGGATGTTAAGCTATGTCACAATTTTTTTTTTTTTGTTGTAATTTTTTCACGTTTAAATACTCAAGCAATAACTTAGGCCACTTTTACCCATTTCTCTGTGTAGGCCCTCCTCTTTGTGTGACAACATCAAGGCGCACACAAATCGGAGTAAAAGCTCGGCCAAGCACAAGCAAATGTGTGAGCGCCAAATATTTATTTTTTTATTGCCTTACTTGACTTTAAGTGTCCTTAGATTTTTTTCTCTGTGTAATTCTTTACGCATAGTTAGGATTTATTTCGTAGATATTTCTTCATTTTTTGAAATTATAAAAAAAAAAAATTAATATCCGAACGCATACATTATTAATGAACAACAGACAGCGGATAAGTTGCCACACGAATGTACGGACTTTTAAGAGTAAAAGTGAAAATCGGCCAGAAGGGGCAAATTTAGGACAGAAATCTAAGATACGCACGGCACACTAATGTATGTATGTGTGTATGTATGACAGACGCCTTTGATCACAAGGCGTAACTGAGAAGGCGAAGAGCCAAAAAGGCAAAATAATTGAGCAACGACAGGGGTAGAGTCGCTTACATAACTGGTGGGCTCAATGAACGCCTGAAGGAAGAATGGCTGAATGAATGAGTAACTGTTGGCAGCCGCCTGGCAATGCGTGGCCGCCTCACTGCCTAGCAAACTGGTTGAGTGAGTGAAATTTGATACGATTTATGAATTTTTTGTTAGCAAATCCCTACGAAATTATGTATGAAAATATGTACGTTAGCGCGCACACTTATCACAATTTTCCTCTAAATTGTCTAACCTTTTATCCCCTGCCACAGAAATTTTCATCCAACCCGACTTGATTTCATTTAAATATTCTGTAGCAAAACAAGAAATACATACATATGTAGCAACCTTCATTACAATTTAGCCAAACAAAAGGAAGCATAATTTTATTTATACACTCTACATCTTAGCAACAGCGGCAGGCAGCAGCAACAAATTCGTCAAGCGTTAAGTTTTTCTCACCTGAACGCGCGCTTCCGTCAGATTTATTTTCATCGCCAGATCCTCGCGTGTGAACACATCCGGATAATGGGTTTGCGCAAAGGCAGTCTCCAGCTCTTCCAGCTGCAAGGCGAACGGAAAGGAATGAAGGATGATTAAAAGGAAGAAAATTACATCAAAAGCGAATAGCAGCAAAATTAGAAAAGAAATTAAAACAAAGTAAAATGGAAAAACAAAGAATTTCAAATCCCAAATAGTTAAATACTTAGCAAGTTACACAGCCCATCCACTCACTTACCTGTTGCAACGTGAACGTGGTGCGATTACGCCGCTGCTTCCGCCGCACGAAAGTCTCATCATGTATGGAAGGATGGTAGGAGTAGCTTGCATCTGAAGGCGCGATTAGTCCGTAAAGCAAGGCAAAAAACACGAAGAACATAGAAAGAGGAGAAAGTAAGAAAAAAAGTTGAAATTAAGAAGATGCTCGAAAAGCATTAGATAAATTACTACCCAACTACATATGTGTGTAGTTATATATAAATATTGCTGTAGATATTTTATGTATTTATATGTGTACTTTTACCTACATATATGTATATAGAAATACATATTTCTGCTGTGAGTGAATTAGCTGGCATAATTGAAGCGCTGCAGCAACACTTCGCCTGCAGCGTTCTTAAGCTGTGATAAGCACGTAAGCGCAGTGGACTCGTAGGGAATTAGTGCCAAATTAATAAAATAGAAGAGTTAAAAGCCATTTTGAAGAAAATTATTCAGAAGTTTGTGTTGCTCACTTTTCAGAAATCATACATACACACATATGCAGGGTATCCTAGACTATCCGTCCATTCCATCTAAAATGGAGGAAAATGTTTTTATTGGAAGACGCAAGAATATGAACTACCAAGTACGGGATGCATTGTCTTTTCTGGTTGTTTTGCCGATTTACGATTTCGACCGTTTTGACCGGAAGTGCGACAAGCTTACCGGAAGTTAATTTTTTAAATGGGACATATATATATGTTTTTACCAAAGATTCGGTTTCGGTGGAAAAAATGCATACATTTTGTCGGAAACCCACTTTCAGTTGAAACTCGTATTCGGTAATACGATGAAAAGATAGAGCATGCCCGACTTTGTAGTAAATATTTTTGCGATTTCCAATAAACCTCTCTCAAGGAATCCTCATTCTTATATGCAGGTCGACCAGTCTCTCAAAAGTTTTCCATAAGAAAGAAGATAGGCTTATTGGTCTGAAGTCCCTCGAAGAAATGTGAGGGCTTTTTCCAGCTTTGGGGATAAACGTAACAATCACACTACTCTACTCTACTACTCTAAGCTCCCAGGATATACCCTTTTTCTAAGCAGCTCGCATAGATGGGAGTGAGCCAGCGACATGAGACCTCCACAGCATTTTACAACTGCACAGGAATAATTCTATCCGGTACAGAGGACTTGAAAGGCTTGAAAAAGTCAACTACCCAGTCGCAAGATGTGGGAAGTTGACCGTATCAACATCGGTAGGCTCACATACAACACGGTGCTACGAAAAAAAAAAATAGTTGCATGTACTTTTTATGTCATGTAGTAGAGATGGTAGAGCAGGTATAAAATATATTTTTGGAATTAGCAGCATTTCAAAAACACCCCCAAAATCTTAAGTTTTGATTGAAAAAAAAATAATTAAAATTGGGATGTTGGGTCAAATTCATATAATTTTATGTTCGTTGAAAAGCGGAACTGCTTTTAGGAAATTTAAGTTAAGTTCATAACCATTGACTCCGTGAACCAAGAAGCAGGAAAAAATATAAAAAATTGGCTTATAATTACACCTTATACTTTTATTAAGCTCATACCTAGTGCTTTATCTAAGACCTTAGTTGTAAAAAAATTCTCTAGCTATTAAGACCTTTTGACTTGAAGAATTGTTATAAGGAATGCCGTCTCTAGCTAGCTCATAATTACTTTCATTGCCTTCAACACCTTTGTGTTCTGGGATCCAATATAGGTGGATGGATTAGGCTATGGCTAAGCTCCCTATTGCCTCCTTAGAATCTACAGCGAGGAGGTAATATATGAAATCAGAGTCTAATGGCTAGTTGACTGTCAATACACATAAATGTTTATACGCTCATTCAGCGGATTTATTTACGCTTTGATTTATCGCCAAAATTTCAGCTAAAAAATACTATAATGGTACGATAGCTTAAATGACCTGCAAAATTTCCGGTTCCGAGCAGTAAATCCTTAAATTGGAAAAGTCAGTGAAAATGTGCGTCGCATTATCTGTTTCCAATATCCCGACCTTTGAGCCTCGTGTAGGACGGATTGGAACCTCGACCGCTGCAACCGCCGAAATAGTGCGACTTTGAACCCCGTACACTCAAAGGCCCTTCCACCCACCAAAGCAGTGCGATTTTGAGCCTCGGAAAGGCAAATCGTAGGAGCGGATTTGAACTTCGACCGTTCCAACCGCCTAGTCAGTGGGGCTTTGAAAGGCATGCAACCGAAGCGTAGACGCCGATTGGAGCCTAGGCGATTCCAACCGCCAAAGCGGATCCCGGAAACTCGTCACCTTTGAATGCCTGCTCAATGCAAATACCAGCGACCGGGCTGCTCGGAATCTTACTCACTCCGGCGGTGCGCCATAAGTCTAAGATAACTATTCGTACACCAAAATTTGTGCCCAATGGAGCAGATCAACGCAAGAGTTACGATAGTCGCCCTTCGCTTTTTGCCACCTCTACATAAAAAAAAGAAATATCCCGATCCCTGAGCATACCTTCAATCTCTCAATTTTTAGTCGAAGGGTCCTTTAGACCCTTTAGGTTCCGGTTAATATACTATAGGTTATTCAATTTGTCAGAGAACTCTATATGTACTACTGTGACCATATGCTTCGAATCCAAGCTGATCCGAGGCATAAAGTCAACGTTGTCGGTATTGGCCGTCGAATAGTATGGACTTAACAATAGTTTTGAAATCCAATGGTATAGAGCCTTTGTGGCCTTTTTCACCTATCAAGCACTATTCTAACCAAGTCGCTGATGACCTTTAGCGTTAGGTTCGCCAAAGAGCTGATAGTCGTCAATCACATGCCATCTCAAACATGATAACTCAACCTGTTCTTCTGAGTCGGAGTTTATCGTATTAGAAGATAAATATTTCTTACGATTACGCATACATTTTGATACATTTCCTTCATAATTATCTACCCTTTAGCATTCGCGAGCTCCTAAGCAAATATTTAGTTAGCACAGTAAACTTACAAACAAATGGCTTTGTACAACAAATTAAATATTAATTAGCATGTAAATGATATAGCATACTTTTTGGCGCAGCTAGCAAGAGGCAACTTTTACAAGTGAAGCTGGTGTGTACTGAGTCGACCACAAGCAACCACACAAATGTTACACGCACACATAAATTTAGTAATTATTTAGTTAACCTTTCCTGCTGTAAGCCAACAAAAACAAAAAATTAAAATGGCTGCCAAGATGGACGAACAAACAAACAGCTGTCGGCACGAAATAACATTACTACGCATTAAGCAGCTCCCCCGAGACTTAACTTGGCAAATGTTAAGCGACTTGCAGAAATATTTAAATCTGACTGTATGTATGTATGTACGGGTGAATTTATGTGCATAGATAAAGAAGGAAACGTAATACAAATGTACATACATATGTATCATCTACAAGCACATGTTATTACTTAAATATTCCAATAAAAAGCAACGTAGGTAAGCTGCCAAGTTAAAGCAGGTGCGCGTAGACAGGCTTTCGATTCGGTGGCACGCTGGAGTGGAAAATGTTTTCCGGCGCAATATTCCTAATCCGATTATCGTTCGTTGAAATTGGTCATGGCGCCAACAACGACAACAAAAAAGTCAACACAACCGACAACCGACAGCCTTTGCTTTATTAACCAACCGACCTACCTAGCATCCTTTCTCAGCTTTGCTTGCTGCTGCCTACGCATTTGTACCCAATACTTGCACTTGTACTTGTGTGGCATATTCAGAAATTAAATTTTACAATTTGCTAGCTAATTATTTATTTAAAACAAATTGAAAATTAATTTCGTCGAGCGTTGGCTGTAGCGGCGCACAAAAAGTTCAGAGCACACCCATAAGCGGCTACACGGCGACCGGAAGCGAGGCAACGGAAGCGGATTCTCAGCAAAAATGAGAAGCAGCAGAAAAGTTTCCATAAGCAATGCGCGTTTGTTGTGTCGAGAGAGGGAGGGAGGCTGCGTAATTCCTCAGTGCCTTGAGGGTCAAGTGTGCGGTTTATTTTGACTGTGGCGTGTTGTTGTGTCGAAAAAGGTTTTCAGCTATTCACTTTACGACTTAACGACTCGGCACACAAAGTAGCACAGAGTGAGTGGTGGTATGTTGCTTGCCAGCGACTATACTCTTGCCAGCTATGTCCACAAAATGGCGTCGAAAAGAAAATTCAATTAGAAAATAATTTTGCCAACTTTTTACTCGCAGCAAAACTCATTGCTGACTGCTCTGCTTGTTGCTCTTCTTCTTACTCGATTTGCGTCTGCTTTGAAATTAAATTTGTTAAGTTGTTGAAATTTGCTTTTGGCACCATTTTGCTATTTGAATAAAAATATGATTTTCGCATTGCGCATCACATTAGATATTTATTATGGAAAGTAAGTGAGCTTTTTCCTAACGGGTAAGTAATGAAGACGACCCAAATTTTTCGGCAATGTTCGAAAGATTACCAACATTTGTGAAGATGCATATAAGTGTACTAAAATGTTTGTCTCCTCCACATTTTAGTACCACTGAATACACACCATCCGAATTGAACTACTTACAGCAGTCAAAAGGGGCAAGAGAAAATATTAATGAACGCTAAGACACCACCCGAGATGCGATGCAGTAGTTAGGCCTGTTGGCTCTTCCTAGCGGGTTAATTGCTTTTACATATTTTACCGGAGAGAATGCGGACCGGGAGCGTACCTTTATTGGGACTATGTTGTGGATCCGGCCTTATGACCAGGGTAATTTTAAATTACAAATATCAAGAAACTTATGCAAACCAAAAAGTTACACAGTAACTGAATTAAGAAAATTAATTGCTGTTAAATAGAATCGATGAACAATCGAAATTTCAGTGATTTTTATTTCAAATCCAAGTCAAATGGTATACCGAAAGTTGCTGCAATGCGTAAATCATTCGTTTGCATTAGAATATTTTATTAACTTAGTGCCTTTTATATGCAAATTTCTACCTATATTTAATTATTTATTATCAAATGCAACTCTGAAGCTTGAAGGACACTAAAATTTGAAAAACATCTGCAATAAATTCTAATAGACACTGAAATTCCCATCGGGAAAGCAGCAACACAATCAAGGCCTTCATTAATCA